TCCCCACAGACCAGGTTCTCTGCACCTCTGCAGGTGTAAGCTGGGAAGGCAGTGTGAACCGGCTGGGCTGGGAGAGGAGACAATCTCCCTCCCCGGGAGCAATGGATGGACAGAGACCTGGCAAGGTGCAGAGCTCCGGAAAAGAGGAGGGAGGGAGTGGGCTTTGCAGAGACTGGGGTGGCTGTGGAGGAAGATCTTGAGCAAATACTTGGAGCCAAGGCTGAACAGGGGAGCTCCTGCCACCCCATCATGCCCTGGCTGTTCCTTCCTAATACCCGCCCCACCCCCACTCCCTAATCAGCCATCTCCTCACCCACCAATGTCGCAGGGTCAGAACCCTGGCCCCAGCCTATCTTCCTGCTGGGCTGACACAGGTCCTCCTCATCAATTGAAGAGCAACACAAAGCCCATGGACACCAGTATCCTAGCCACACCTCTCAGGTCACCAAGGGCCTCAGCCTGGTCATCAAACAAGGCTGAGCCACTTCTGTACCCTGACAGGCTCCGGGCCCACAATGTTGGCTGAGGCTGCCATCGGCCTCATGGGCCTCAGTGTAGTCACAAAAGCAATGGGAACAAGAAGGGCGTCCATTCATTAGCAGCAAATTATACTCAGTTATCTCCACAAATACAGCCAAGTGTCAGTGTGGTGGCTGGCAGGCTGATGGGGAGCTGCGAGGGCCCCTCTTCTTCACCTCAATGAAGGGGAGCTTACATTGTGCTGGAATTTTTTCAGCAGGCAGGACTGAAACACAAGGGACCAAGGGACAACAATGTCCTGTGCCTCCTGGGGTCCAGGAGTCGGAGTCAGGCAGATGTGTCCTGAGACTGGACAGAACTGAGGTCAGGCAGGGCAGGAAGTTAGAAGAGGGCATGAAGGGAAGGGTGCTGCTTGCATCTCCCTGGATATCGCGCATCTGCGGTGTAGCCAGACCCCAGGGGAACCCGGGAGGAGCCACACCTGGGACAGGCAGGGGCAGCGGGCGACAGGGGGCTGCTTCCGCTGAGGATGGCACAGGCGCAGACAGACGGCAGCAACGGAGCGGACAGATGGTCCTTCCTGCAGTGCTGGAGGGAGGAGGCAGCCAGGAGCTGCCACATGACTGTGCACATCTGGAGACCTGGGGGCGACAGAGAGAGACACAGAGGAAGAAGAGGAGGCAAGGGAAGGGAAGGGAAGGGAAGGGAAGGGAAGGGAAGGGAAGGGAAGGGAAGGGAAGGGAAGGGAGGGGAAGGGAAGGAAAGACGGGGGAGCCCTGCAGGAGCCTTTTCCTCTGCAGCAGCCAAAAATAGCCTAACCATCACCATGGGTGCCACCCCCATCCTTCCTCTCTCCCCATTGCCCGACTGCTGCTGAGAGTTTGGGGTTCCTGCTCTCCCCTGCACTCCATACCCTGGGACTGGGGTGGACACTAAATCTAGTCACTTCCCTCGACCTTTTGGCTTCTGTATATTCTGTACATCCCTTAATGAGAAAACAAATCTTCTGATGCTGATGCCAGTGATCACAGAGAACAGCTTGCCCTCTCAGATGCGTCAGCTCAGTGTCTTCCCTGTGAAATCTTCTTTGCATTCACTTTCAAGCCAACCTAGAACCCCTGGAGTATGCACATCAAATATTTAGCAATGATCACAAACCATTACATCAGAACTTTGGGAGGGAGCTCAGGCACCAGTTATTAAATATTCCCTAAGTGATTTTAATGGGCAGCCACAGTTGAAAACAGCCAGACTAATGGACTCTGGGTCTGTATTACGAGGAGCACAATGTGCAGAATCGAGGAGGTGAAAGGCTGATCTATCATGAGCTGAAACACTATGCAAGGCAGAGCTTCAATCTGAAAGGCAAAAGGAGGAAACCTGTGTGCAGGAGACTGATGGAAATGAAGAGGCCTCATTAGCACAGGGAAAGGGGATATTTTGCTGCTCAGATGCTAGGGTATGGCTGGGCTAAAGGTCACCAGCCTTAAGTCTGAGGTGGGGATGTCTGCCCCTTGAGACCTGGGCTTTTCTTTGCTCTGACAAAGCATGGCCTCATTAGTAAGGAAACAGGGCTGCCACAATTATCTGGAGCTGGTGTTGCTAAACGGGCATGCTGGGACACAGTGCAGATTTCAGTGACCTGAGGCCCCACACCCAACAAGATGCTAAGGAACCTCCGAACCAGCTCTGGCTGCGTGCTCCTGGTGCACACCCACATACCCACACCACCCGCAGGACTCTGACACCCAGCCCCAGGGTGAGAAGAAGGGATGTCAAGGGCCCTGCCTGCCCCAGGGAGCACAGCGAGAGCGTGAACTCACCCTGTCTAAAATCAGTTTTGTTAGTGGCCCAGGGCTGTTCTCTAGCATGTTCTTACATGTGACTGGCTAAACAGGCAGCCTAAGCCACAGCAATTCCACTGAGCCTTCAGGTCCACCCAGAGATCCTATTTCTAGGCATTAGTATTGCAAAAACTAAAATACACTTCAGGATTTGTATCCAACTATGGATACAACTATGGTAAAATGTATTCTAGAAGAGCAACACTACAAGATATTATGTAGCAATTTAAAAAGAGGGAAGGAGGTCTTTGCAACAAACTGGACACAAACTAGCAGGTGCTACAGGATTCCATTTATATCAAATTCAAAAGCAAGTGAAACTAACCCATGGGGAAAGCAACCAGATAGTACTTTTGGGTGGAGCTACTGACTGAGAACTTTCTGGAAAGTTTGGCTGTTGACTGAGAACTAGGGAACTTTCTGGAATTCCAGAATTGTTTCCTACCATGTCTGTCATCGTCTGTGTATCTGTCTATCTATCATCTATCTATCTATATTGATTATATGTGATACTGGAGAGTATGCTAGTGCTTCATGCATGCTAGACAAGTCCTCTGCCACTGAATTATATCCCCAGCCCTTTTAACTTTGAGGTGGGATCTCACTAAGTCACCCAGGCTGGCCTGGGACTTGTGGTCTTCCTGCCTCAGCCTCCCAAGTCATAGCTGGTATTGTAGGTGTATGACAGCACCCCCTAGCTACAAAGTTGTCCTATATCTTGATTTGGGTAGTGGTTACATAAATGCTTGTTTAAAAATTCATGGAGCCATACAATAAGGATTAACATTTTAAAAAATTAGATTGTTACACATCAGTTTAAAAAGAGAGTCTAGAACTGACTTGGGAAAATACTAAAGAAACGTCAACCCCCCCCCCATATATGTATTGTATATAAATTGTATATATACAATATCACTTCTATAACTGTATTAGCCTGAAGAAAAATCTGGAAGGATACCAAGTCCTCAGTGACACTTTCCACTCTTGCTTCTTGGGGGGCCCTTGCATTTAAAGATGACAGATTTTAACTTGGGTAAACTTTGGCTTCAGCCCTCAGTTTGACACTCAGTCTTTGCAAATGATATTTAGACATCACCTGGCTGGGAACACACTGGGGTCTCTGGCTGGCAGCCCATGTGTACCAACATCCTGCTCGGCAGTGGCCTGCAGGGACAAAGAAGCCAAGTGCCACTCCCCAGACAGATCTCACAGAAGGGGTCATCCACGGCTGGGCACGCAGGCAGAATTCCCTGTGCCAAGCCAACAGAAGAGGCAGGGTGACTCCGGGCTGCTGCCACCACTGTCCACACCCCAGCTCCTCCCCGCAAGTGCTGGGTGGTCAGCTCTGCTCCCTGGTCCTCACAGGCCTGGTTACAAATGGTCTTGGAGGCAAAATCCGGTCACACCGTGGGCCAGGAAAATGAACCCTTCTGTCCCCACTTTAATAGGAATGTGACACCTGCAGCCTCCAGCTTGTCGCACTGTGAGAATTATTTCTCCATTAAGATGCAAGAGTTGGAGCTTTGCCCAGAAAGAGCAGCTAAAAATACTGCTCTTGAGGGCATTTGTCACCTGGGGCCCTGATGGCCACAGCTCCCAGGCAAGTACCACACCTGCAGGGTCCCTCCTGAAGCTCGTCACCCAACCCCAGTCCAACAGAGACAAAGCATTGGTCACCGTGGGCCAGGTAGGTTCCCACAGTGAGTTCAAGGCCCCTACATCCAATCAAAAACCACTTAGTGAGGTTCCAACTGCAGAGAGGAACACAGAATGTCCCCATGGGGCTGAAGCCCAGCAGAGGGAAGCCCACTGTAGCACTACAGATGGGGCTGCGAGCAAGGTGGTTCCCAGAGCCACCAACTTCAGAACCAATCTTCCACGTGCAACCAGGTACGGTGGTGCACACCTGCAATCCAAGCATTCTAGGAGGCTGAGGCAGGAGGGTCACAAGTTCAAGCCCAGTCTGGACAATTTTAGTGGCCTGGCAAACCTGTATCTTGAATAAAAAAAACTTTAAAATAGTAACACACACTTTCTAAGAGAAAGCATCACCTGTTTGATAAAGAAATGAAGGTTGAGAGTACCAGGGATGCGGACACAAGTTAGCGGCAGAGCACAAAGACGAAGGGGAGAGGACTGGAGTGCACCACAAACCCTCATAGCCCCAGTCCTCGTCTCTGGTTCCTGCACGCCTGCACCCCTCTTCTATGACTTTCTAAGCGGGCAGCATGAAGACCTCAGATCCAAGTTTCATACAGGAAAACTGAGGCCCAAGAAGGTCAGTGTCCTACTCAGAGTCACAGAGCAGAGCTAGGTCTTGGACAGGACCTGACTCCCGGCCTGGTATTCAGGCCATGGGTCACCCAGGAACAGTGTGCAGAACTCCTTTCCCAAGGTCGGTGTCATCATCCTGGGCTGTGGTGTCCCTTTGGTCAAACAGGGACATTAGCAGAGGTTCTGAACAAGCCTAGGGTTTGAGTCTTCTGGGTCAAAGAACTCAAGTGACATTCCTGCAAAACAGACAACCCCCACCCTCACAGTGCCCGGAGAGCTTGGCCTTGTGGCCTAATATTTTCCAAGAGAGAAACTGAGGCCAGAAAACTAATGGGGCATGGAGACCCAGGCATCCTATCCCCCTCTACCCCACTGCTTCTCACCACTTCACACAGAAGAAGCTTTTGACAAAAGCATTTATTTTCCCCAGATCCACCCCCAATACAGAGTCCCACATTTAAATTAGACATCTTCACGTCCTCCTCCTGGGGGTGCCAGAGAGGCCCACAGGACACAGGACTCAGAGGCCCCACTCTCCCACAGCTGGGGGCTGGCCACGGACAAGCCAGGAGGTGTCTTCAATAGCCAGGCCCCGATAGCACCATGGTGGGAGACAGTCCCCTGTGTGTCCCCAACATCCTGCTTGCCCTGGGCTCCTACCAGCAGCAAGGACTGATGTGGAGGGTCGTGGCTACCTGCCTACCAGTTCACCCTGGAAAGACCCTTAGAAGTCTTCTCATTCTCCAGTGAGGCCAGGGCTCTTCCTGGGCTTCTGGCCCACCTCATGCTCTGGGTACAGTGTAGGGATGGTGAGGGGGTGGAAAGCTGCCCCCGAGGACGTCCTCTGCAGATTCCCAGAGAACCAGCATGACCAGCACCTGCTTCCCGAGGGGGTAGGTGGCATGCAGATGGGGGGTGTGCATGGCCCAGCATGCACAGTGGGCAGGGAGGGTGCCTGGAGCCCCTGGGCATAGCAGTAAAGCCAAGTGCAGGCCAGGAGCAGGAGGAACAGACGAGGCAGGCTCAACTTGAGGCTGCTGAGGCGTCGGATCCCACGCAGGTTGGGAAAGGGCTGAGAAAAGGGAACTGGTGCACAGGGCCACCAGAAGACAAGGCAGGAGGTGACCATGTAGTGTGTCTTGGAGAAATAAGGCAGGGGTGCACCTAAAGGCTGTGTCTTTTGTAGAAAAAAGGCAGTCAGGCGTTCCGTGTGGCTTGGAGGCGGTGGTGTGCTCTGTGTACTGTGTCTGCTACAAATAAGGCAGCAGGAGGACTTGGGCACCGTGTCTCTTAGAGAAGCAAGGCCTCAGGGTGGTCTGTGTACCGCGTGCCCTGGAGATGGGTAGAGCTCGTCCCGTGGGTGGGGGCAGGGCTCACTCTGAGGCCCCAGTGCAGCCGGAGGGTAAAGCCCCCCAAACAGGGGCCACGGCTCCTGGTCAGGCAATTTCATGTCCATCGTCTGCATCTCCTGATGGGAAGGGGAAAAAGGAAATAACAGCAACAACAATGAATAAGTGCTGTTTGTTCCTCCCTTGCGGGAGCCTCGGCATCTGCTCAGGTAGTCAGGCTGCAGATGAGCGTGGTGACAACAGCCAGAGACGTCTGACAAGCCACCCTGTACCAAGTGCTGCTCTGGAGGCCCAGACAAGAACACAGAGATAGGCATGAAGTAGCCAGCAAGCCCCCGAGGGACACCACTCTCCAGTCACCGTGCCCTCCATCCTCAGGTCCCTCACACTGCTCCCTCCTTCCTGCCAACTTCTTTGTTTGCAACCCGCTGACACCCCTTCCCATGTCCCCCTCCATCTCGGGCCACACAAGTCTTTACCTTCTTTGCTTTCTGAGTGTTTCAGAGGCCGCAGGGCTGCAAAAGAGAAAGCAGTGAACGATGAGGAGAGGAGTCTCCAAAGCAGGGGCCATGGGGGGCCTCGCAGGTGCTCGGGGCAGCGGAAGAGGCAGGAGGGAGAGATGGACGGGAAGGGGCTGAGGGCACTGTCCCACAAGTCCCAGCAGCACTGAGAGGCTCGTCAGCTTGTCCCTCCCTTCCCCTGCCTCAGTTTCCTGCATCCACAGACAGCACAGCCACCCTGCATCCCAGAGATGTGGGATGTGCTAAGCTCACTCCCCACACAAGGGTTCAGGGAGGCCCAAAAGGATGCTGGCATGTGAGCAGATGGCCCAGGGACCCAGGCTGGCCAACTCCGGAACTTCTCCTTTTCACGCGTCCCTCCCTGCTGCCAACTCCACCGGCCTCCGGCATGGAAAACAAGGTCTGATCCCAGGGCTGTCTGCATGTCTGCCTGTGCTGGGCACCAGCAGGCAGAGAATTAATTGGCATAATTGATTGCAGTCCCCAGGTGCCAATCTCCTGCCTCCCTTCTGCAGGGGCAGGAAAGAAACTTGTATCAACTGGAACCAGCCCAACTGGCTCAGCAGGAAGCTGATGCTCCCAGCCCGGGGGTGACCGGAAGTGAGGCCAGGTGCTGCGGGCACCAGATCTACCGTGCCACATCTTGTCTCTTCAGTCACTGGAGCTTTAAGATAGCACTGGATGGCATCAGGGTTAGGGGCAAGATGACATTTCACAGGTGGAAACTGAGGCCCAGAGAACCAAAGCCCTTAACAAGATCAGGATGAGCATGGGCTGTGTGCTTACCAGTCATGGGGCACCGATGGATCAAGCCCTGATTTGGCACCAGGCATGATACTAGGTCTTTCACACACATTATCTCATTTAACTTGGCCCAGGCAACCTGCAGGCCTGTTGTTATCCCCACTCCACATATGGGGAAACCAGCCAGAGAGGCACATTGACCTACGGGCTGCCCTGTCCCCTCGGGCCCTGCTGCCACCCAAGAAAGCTCCCAGACTACACAGGATCGCTAGGTGGCCACAGTCCTGGTGGCTGGGTGCAGGGAGGCAGGGGAAAGAAAACCACTTGGGAGTGGGATGGGGAGGCCGCCCAGGCCTTCCTCTGTGCCCCAAGTCCTGAAACCCCAAAGCACACCTGGCCCTTCCAGTTCCTGAAGTCTTCTCTCCTTTCCCATGACCTCCAACCATGTCGAGAGAGCCACCTCTGAGCCCAGACTCACCTGTCTTGGAGCCTTCTCTGTCCCCATCCTGATCCTCAGCCCCTGGAAAATGAAAGTGCAGAATGGATACAAAGCTCTCCCAGCCCCACCGTCACCCCCGTGCCCCTCACCTGGGTGTCCTGTGGGCCCAGAGCACTGCAGAGCCCAGGACAGGACAGGACTCCTGGCTGGCAGCTCACCACTCCCCTAGCCATGGCTATTACCCACGCTCCCCTAGCACAGTCCTCCCAGTGACACACACACAGGGCCACACTGATCTGCACAGACACACCCAACCCTTGGAACACTCGGCCTTAACCCGTCACTCACTTCCAGCCACACTCATCCTGTCACTAGACACCCATGCAGATGCCACAGTCACAGCAGCCGTGGTTTGAGTGTCTGTTTCCTCCAAAACTCAGGCTGAAAGGCAACTGCCACAGAACAGTAGTAAAAGGTACAATGCATTGGTTGTAGCTGTGATTACACTGTTGGTGGTACTGGAGATCAAGCCGGGTGCTTCGGGCATGCCAGGCAGTGCCCTACCACTGAGCTACACCCCAACCCCATGGGGTGCCACTCTGAAGAGGCAGTTAGGCCACAAAGGTTCCACTCTCAGCAATGGGATTGGTGCCATCCTCTCACTGTGTCACCTCCCACCACAGCAAGGTCACATCAGAAGCCAGCACCTTGATATTACACTTCCCAGCCTCTGGGACATTTCTGTTCTTTACTTTTTCCAGCATCAGTCCATGACAGCAACACACTCCAAAGTATAACACACACACATACACACACACACACACACACACACACACACTCACATACTCACCTGAGTTCTCCTCCTCACAGCTCTGTTTGATCTTCCTCCAGCACACGAAGGCCAGGGCCACCAGCAGTACGATGAGACAGATGGAGAGCCCCACCGTCACCCACAAGGCCTCTGGAGGAAACGTCATGGGCTGCCCTGGGAGGGAATGAGATGTCACACACTCTCCATCTCCAGGGTGGAGACACACCACAAGAGGAACCACTAAGCCCCTGCCACCCCTGCCCCGCTAACTGCTTTGGTTGGTGGGGCCTGAGGAGTCTGGAGGTGAACAATGCTCCCTAGCTCCCCACGAGCCCCTCCTGGATTCGAGATGCCTCAGCCTTCTCAGGGTTTGGGAGGAGTTCTGTGACCCGGCTGCTTCCCCTCCCACTCCCAGCCTTTCCCTCTAATTTCACCATGGGAATCTGAACTCCAGCCAAACTGGCACTGGAGTCCTGCTCTGGAAACCCCAGGCTCACTGCAACCTCCGTACAGCACCACCCGCCACTGCCACCAGAAGGTCCTCTCTGACTAGGCCAGTGCCAGCCCCACCTGCAGCTCAGGAACCAGGAAACTGTGGCAAGCAGCCAAATGTAGGTGGTGGCCTGGACTACACAGTGAGTTCAAGACCAGCCTGCACTACAAAGTGAGAACCTGTCTCAAAAAAGGAAAAGGAAAAGAAAGAAAATCAAAAGGAGAGAGGCAAAGAGGGAGAAAGGAGGAGCAAGAGGCACAGAAGGATAAAACAGCCAAAGCAGAGATGCCGCGCTGCCCACATCGACCTGGGCCTCCCAGGAAGTTGTGCTGAGCTCTGTGAAAGCCCCAGCATGCAGGTCCTGAAGCCCCCAAGGATTCCAGCAGACCCAGGAGGCCCTGCCTGCTGGGGAATCAGCAGGGAACCCTGAGGGTCTCCTGTGTCAGGAGAGGCACTGAGGACCTGGCTGGGTCAGAGATTCCAGCAGACCCAGGAGGCCCTGCCTGCTGGGGAATCAGCAGGGGACCCTGAGGGTCTCCTGTGTCAGGAGAGGCACTGAGGACCTGGCTGGGTCAGAGATTCCAGCACAAAGCTCCATGGCTCCATCCCACCAGCTGGGACCCCGGTAGAGGCTCAAGGAGAAAAAACTGAACTAAGAGACTGCTGCTTCCCTTTACTGTCTGGGCACCATGAGTGACCAGGGCACCTGCAGCATGGGGTTGGTGACAGCCTCTGCAGAAGCCCCCTAACGCTGCAGCATCAGAGGCTCTGGCACTCAGCACTCTGACAGGTCCCCTGCAGCAGACCTTCCTTCAATGGGCTCTGGACAGTGGAAGCCACAGGAACTGTCACCTAGGTGAGCAGGAGCTTGCCTTAGGCTACTATGACCAGTCCAAGAAGCACACATAAGAATCCCCTGGCAGTCTGGCATGATGGCAAATGCCGGTGATCCCAGTAATACTCAGGAGGCTGAGGCAGGAGGATCACTGCAAGTTCAAAGTCAGCTTGGGCTACATAGTGATTTGAAGCCAACCTGAACTACATAGTGAGACTATGTGAGGAGAAGGGGCAGGAGGGGGCAGAGAAGCAGGAAGGAGGGGGAGGAGAAGGGGGAAGGAAAATCCACTGGAAATTCCAGGACAGGACTCTGGCAGCCAAGGAGGCAGCAAAGCTGCAGACAGACCCCGGGGCACGGTCTCTTTCTGTGTTCACTGCGCGGCAGCTCGGGGTGCCTGGAACGTGGATTGAACTCGCTCTCCTTTATCCGGTAAAGGGCAGAGCCAGCTAGGGCTCAGGCTCTTCTCAGTGGACAGGCCAGCTGGAGCACTCAAAGCCTCAATCTCGGGATGTTTTACCAGGTGCAAAGCTACTTGGAGCGAAATACAGGCCAAGGGCTCCAAAGTAGGCCAGACCCACTGTATCAGAATCAGGAGGCTGGCGGGCAGGGAAGGCCAATTAGGCTGGGAGGCAACAGCCAGATCCCGGTCCCGGTCCATCTGTCTCTGCAGGACACAGCCGCTGAGGTTTGCAGACCCTTGACAGCGGGTTTAGAGAAGCCAGAAGCCCTCAAGGAACATGGACAGCAGCGCATCTGTCATGTGTAGTCTTCAAAGAGGTGACCCCTCCCCACACACAAAGGTTCCAAACCATTGTGCCGGTCTCTGCACCCCGCTGTTCCTTGTCTGTGAAACCCGCTTGGCCACATTGGCCTGTACGAGACCCCTTTACAGGGCAGCCCCTAAAGCATTCAGTGAAGGATTAGGCAAGGTGAGTGTCCTTGCTGGGGTCACATTTACACTCCTCAGCCTTTCTGCAAACACCTAATTCTGCCCAGTGTGTGAAGGATCGCCAGTCCTGCCCTTCCGGCGAGGGTGTCAGGACCCCGCCAGTCTCGCTCCATCCCACATTTCCTGCCTCTTCCTGCGAACACTCTGCTCCCCCTTCCAGATTGTACACTGCACTCTAAAGGGGAGACACGCGCCCCCACACACACACATACACACCAGGAGACCCCTCAGAGCATCCATGAGCCTAAGGACAGGAAGGATGGAAAGAAGTCACAGAGCCCCGAGGTTTGCATGACACGAGTCAGAAGCTGGGATTGGGCAGAAGTCACAAAAAGAGATAAAAGGAGCAGACAGACAGATACCCTTGTCCTGAGCTGAGGGAGGTGGGAGGACCCTGGGAAGCTTCAGTGGCCCCGAGAAGGGACTGAGGAGCCAGACGGTGCAAACCCCCGCTAAGAAAGGGATGGATGGAGACCTCTGACGGCTTGCAAAGATCCAGAAACTGGAGACAAGGGAATCACCACATGGGCGGCTGCGATATAATGTCTGGCCACACAGGGGCAGCAGAGACAGCCCTGGCCAACCCATTTGCCGCCTGGTGGAGCTGCAGGGAGAGATGTTGGCCTAGGAAAGCCACTGACCACCTGGAGAGGCCCGGCTTTCAGAGCAGTCCGATGGTGCCCTGGCCTCTGCAATCGCTTCACACCACCCTGAGAATTTCATTATAACAGATTCTTTTCCGTTCATTAAAGCAAACCCCTTAGGACTTCTTCTAGGGGAGACTTTCAGATGGCTGGAATGCCACGCAAGTGACTTAAAAATTCGCCTACCCCACCCAAAGCTGTTGAAACTCCAATGTGGAGTTGAGAAGAAGGTGGCTGCTCCCTCCATCCTTGCCCAGCTGATCACCAGCCCCTCACCCGTGATGGTGACCGAGCCGTGCGCGTCCTGCTGCAGCACTGGGTTGCGCACCAGGCAGCTGTAGGTGCCATTCACTCCCAGCATCACCCGCAGCACGCTGTGCACGTCGAACAGGCCCTGCTCGTTGGCCATCTGCGACGTGGTCACGTTGCCGGTCAAGAGCGTGCCCTGCCCGTCCCGCCACAACACCTCAGCCTCCGGGTAGCCCCGGTAGCTGGAGCACGTGATGGTCACCAGGTCCCCTGGCCGCAGGTCCTTGTTGGGCTCCAAGGTCATGCTGGGCTTCGAGTAGGGAGCTGGAAACGGTCACAGGATAGGAGTCAGGGACAGTAGGAGAACAGCGGGAGTGCCAGGGGGGAAGGGGACACACAGGGCTGCAAGCTCCTAGGTCAGCACAGGGGCTTGGAGCTGAGGTTCCTGGCTGGGACTGCAGGACCAGGAGCAAAGCTGGAATGAGGGCGTCCCATGCCGGCTCACCCGCCACCTGCAGGCTGACGGCGGCGCTGCCAAAGTCTCTGATGCTCACGAAGCAGGTGAAGCTGCCCTCGTCGGCCACGCGCACGCGCTGTAGCCTCAGCGACGCGTTGCCACGTGCCAGCAGCTCTGGGAACAGCATCGTGCGGTTGGCGTAGGCGCTGCCCTGGTCGCGGCCCTCGGCGAAGCTGTGCACCAGCTGCTTGGTGTCGGTCAGCTGCCAGATGAGGTTGAGCTGCGTGAGGCTGAAGTCGGGTTCCGGGGAGAAGGAGCAGCGCAGGGTGGCGTCGGTGCCCACCAGCGCCACCACGGGGTCCTCAGGCACCTGGACGTCCACAGCTCCTGGAGTGGGGCGGTGGGGTCGGGGGCAATGAGGGGGCGGGGCGATTAGGAAGGTTGGCGGGGACATTGTGACCATCACGAGGTGGGGCCTCTTCCATACCCAGGACCCCTTCTCTCCTCAGCCTTACATCCCCAGGCTCTGTCGCATCGTCCCATTTTTCATTTGGATTAGGAAAGCAGGTTAAGCATCAAGACTCTCATACTTGGAGACGCCTCGCAGCTTGGTCCTGGCTGCAGGACCCATCTGAGGATCCAGGCCTGGGCAGCCAGAATCTCAGAGGCTTGGCCACGAGCACACCCCCCCCATCCCCACCCTCTCTCCTACTCCCCATGCAGACACCCTTTCCCCCTCCTCTCCCAGGCTCTGTGGTGACCCACGCGCACATCCATGCTTTCCATAAACCCTGGAATCAAGGTCTCTAGTCACTCATAGACCCTGCAACCTGGGGTCTCCCACCCCGAACCTTATCATGACTCTTCTCTCACTGTTCTGGGGGACTCAGGTAGAGAGATTCGGATTCTTCAGGCCCTGCTGCAGAAAGGGAAGCCTCCTTCCACTAGAGGCGCAAGTAAGTCACTTACCTGCGGGGCCCCTGTGGGGTGTGATAGTGACCGAGCTGTGGGCGTCCTGCTGCAGCACTGAGTTGCGCACCAGGCAGCTGTAGGTGCCATTCACTCCCAGCATCACCCGCAGCACGCTGTGCACGTCGAACAGGCCCTGCTCGTTGGCCATCTGCGACGTGGTCACGTTGCCGGTCAAGAGCGTGCCCTGCCCGTCCCACCACAACACCTCGGCCTTGGGGTAGCCCCGGTAGCTGGAGCACGTGATGGTCACTAGGTCCCCTGGCTGCAGGTCCTTGTTGGGCTCCAAGGTCATGCTGGGCTTCGAGTAGGGAGCTGGAAACGGTCACAGGATAGGAGTCAGGGACAGTAGGAGAACAGCGGGAGTGCCAGGGGGGAAGGGGACACACAGGGCTGCAAGCTCCTAGGTCAGCACAGGGGCTTGGAGCTGAGGTTCCTGGCTGGGACTGCAGGACCAGGAGCAAAGCTGGAATGAGGGCGTCCCATGCCGGCTCACCCGCCACCTGCAGGCTGACGGCGGCGCTGCCAGAGTCTCTGATGCTCACGAAGCAGGTGAAGCTGCCCTCGTCGGCCACGCGCACGCGCTGTAGCCTCAGCGACGCGTTGCCACGTGCCAGCAGCTCTGGGAACAGCATCGTGCGGTTGGCGTAGGCGCTGCCCTGGTCGCGGCCCTCGGCGAAGCTGTGCACCAGCTGCTTGGTGTCGGTCAGCTGCCAGATGAGGTTGAGCTGCGTGAGGCTGAAGTCGGGTTCCGGGGAGAAGGAGCAGCGCAGGGTGGCGTCGGTGCCCACCAGCGCCACCACGGGGTCCTCAGGCACCTGGACGTCCACGGCTCCTGGAGTGGGGCAGTAGGGGGGGCGATCAGGAGGGGCCTCCTGGCTTCCCTCGTCCCCCTCTTCTTCATTCTCCCATCAGTACTGGCTACTGGCTTTTTTTTTAAGACAGAGTCTCGCTAGTGTTGAACTCACTATGCAGCCCAGGCTTGCCTCGAACTTGTAGCGATCCTCTTGCCTCAGCCTCCCAAGCGCTGGGATTACAGGAGTGAACCACCATGCCGGGTTTAGTAGTTAACAATTTTTACAAATTGAGAAGGGCAGCCTAACAAACATACACATATTAATAGCTATTTTGTCTGGATCAGAGAGGCTCACAATGTTTTTTCTTTTCTTCTTTTCCTAAGTATTAGTTTGTTGTTGAGTTTTTTGTTGTTGTTGTTTTTAAACAGGAAAGAATATCCATGTTTTAAATATGGTGGTGAGGTATGAGCTCCATAAAGAAGTGACAGAAAGCCGAGATACAAAGCCGGTGTAGAAGAGACCAAAGGAGAGGGAACAGTAGGTGGGGAAACCCAGCCTGATGCTCAGGAAAGAATCCGTGGAAAGTTTAGAAAGATAGCATTTATTTATGGAATTTTCACTATGGATTAACATCAGATTTTTGCGGTCCATGGAGATCTCTAAAAGCCTTAAAGTGGCCCTGGATCTCTTCCTCGGGCCATCTGGATCAGGGTGCCCACTGTGGCGGACATCTGGGGCACAGATCCGCGATTACCTTACAAAGCCCTTGCTACAGAAATCAAAACTGGCATGGTAGAGATGTGCGCCGCCTCTACATGACCACTAGATGGCACCAGAGACCTGTTTATGCCAAGGAGCACTGAGTCTACCTGATACAGAGTGCAATTAAGGTTGGGGAGAAGGGGTGAAGGGTCCTGCGCTGTTTTATATAAGGGAGCCAGGAAACCCTTACAGAAAGGGTCACGTTTAGTACTCAGTGCTCACATTCCTATTTTATACATAGGGCGTGGAGGCTAGGAATGGAAAAGGAGGTTGCTCTTTGAGTCCCAAGGGTAAAAACAAGAGCGGCAGTTTGGCAGCGGCTCAGGCGAGGTGAAGGTGGGCACGCTGGCCGCCACTGCCACAGTCTGCTTCCCTGCTGTCACCTGTGAGGCAGAGGCACAGCAGGCCCAGGGCTGCACCCACACGCACATCCCTGCCGGGGCTGCCGGGTCCACGCAGCATCTTCCTGTGAGGCAGCTGACAGCTGGGCTCTCCACGGTGGAAGGCTGGCCCGGCCTGCAGGGAAGAGGAAGTGAGGTCTTCGTCGCCAAAGGTCCTCCCCAGGGTCTCTCTCACCACAGCTGCCCAGAACCAGCTGCCCCTGGGGAGGTCCTGCTGCCCATCCCCCAGGGCTCACAGCAGTGGGGAGGTGGATTAGCCCTAACCCTGAAGATGTGACTGTACCAGTCCACAGAGGAGGAGACCAGGTGGCAAATAAAGCGAAGTGACCGCCTCCCAGCAAGGTGATGCCCGAGCGACTGTGGCTTTAGGCAGGAGCAGGGAGAGGGGGAACCAGGCTGCAGCCAGACACAGAGAAGAGCCAGAGCTGTGCATTCTGGCTGGAAGCAGTTAGGAGCCACAGAGCATTCCTGAACAGAGAATTGGTGTGGCTGGGGCCGAGCTTTCTACAGATTAATCTGCGGTGTCTGCTGGATAAATGGGAATAGGTGCGTAAATGCAGCAGCATCTAAGGAAGGGGACCCTCAGCTGAACAAAGGACGGACAGGGAACTCGGAGGGCTCCATGTGAGGCATGGGACTAGCAAGATTCGTTGCAGAAGTTCCCAGGGCAGAGTTCGAGGGGGCAGCCACGTGAGTGAGGGGGGACTCAAGAGACACATGTGTTGGGATAACACGTGTGCCAAGTAACCGAGACTGATCAAAAATGGAAAAGGCCAGGAGTATGGCTGACCCTGAAGTCTGGAGTCAGGATCATGTGAGAGGTAGAGCTGTGACCACAGGTTAGGCCGGGCCAAGAGCCCCTAACTTCCCTGGCTACAACCTACTTCCAGTCTGGCCTCTGCTGAAGTGCCCAACTCAAGCAGGCGGCACCTATCACCTCCCTGTGCACCCCACAGCCGCCGCTCGATTGCTCCTGCCACATCCTGCTCAAGCCACAGGACCAGCGGCCACCTCTAGCAGCCACCACTGATCAGTGAGAATATGAATACCTCACTTCTTCCCACCCCTTGGGAGACAAGCTGCACCGCTTGGCTGTTTTTGCAAGACAAACAAGTCCAGGGAAGTGACTTTGGTATGTCCTATTGTATGCCAGCTGGCACAGCTGATGGTCCAGCCCCGCTATCCCTGGCCACCTCTCCATGGAGGGCACCTCACCCAGAACCACAGCCTCCGTGCCAGTCCCTGCATCCTCAGCCACCCTGGGTGCATCCTGGTCACCCCCATCCCCTCCCCCAGACCAGTGGGGAAGCCTCGAGCCTCCACTTCCTTTCCAGACACTTCCGGTCCCAAATCTGGCAGCCTGAAAGTCTCACCGCCTGCTGACTCAGCAGCCTTCGCACCATTCATAAGGGAACCCTTGGCGGGAACCACATCCTGCCCTGTGGGGAGGGTCACCCCAGCCCACAGGAAACCGGAGCAGGCAGCTGCCTGCATCGAGCATCACTGACACGCTGCAGGAAGCCCAAGGCTCCGGACAAAGCTCTGTGGTTCCTTTCTTCTCTCCCACCTGGACAGAATCTGGGCCCGGCCAGTCCCCCCTCCCCAGCTGCTCCCTTCCACTGGTTTTCCAGTCTCCTTACTCAGCGTGCTGTCTCCACCTTTCCCACCAACCTCACTCTCTCTCTGGGCCTTCTTTTAAGACAGCAGTCTGCTCACCTCCTAACCCCGCTCAAGAACCTCCCATGGCTTCCCACTAACTCTAGAAGTAACCCCGTCTTCTCAAGACTGTTCTTACTGCTCCACACAGAAAATGGATTCCTTCTGCCCATACAGGGTCACTTGGGCACATCTGCTGCCCATGTGCATTTATGGGGAGCAGGGAACAACTCTTCTGATCAGATCTGTTGGGGATCCCCAAAAGCTATCCTTTCCTCCAGAGGCAATATCAAGGGGCTTCCAGGGGTGAGCCCTGGGTTTCCTTCCTGATTTTCTTCCTAAACTTAGGACCAGGAAGCCCATCCTGGGGAGTTTTGAGAAATTCACAGCATCAAGAACTCCTACCCAGCAGCTGGGCCCCAGGACAACTGAAAACAGGATAGAGAAACACATCTCAGGGGCAAGGTAGCATTTGGGGATCAGAAGGGTGGCCTGTGGACAGGACACCAGTTACTGCCCATCTGGACAGACAGACAACACCAGTACACTGAACCATATGGTACTGGGCTCCCAGAACAGACTTCATGTGGAATGCAGGGACCCCGGCCACCTTTCTTAAAGAGGGGAATCCTCCTCCCCAGGTGGGACTTCTCAGAGAATCCCCCACTGGCCCTCCCTCCTCCTCCTCCTACCTTCCTCTCCCTGGGTCCCAACCCCAACCAGCCATGAGACCAACCTGGATTACCAGGAAGACCACAGAGGGTGATGGCCTTCCAGAGAGAAGTGAAAGGGAGACCAGTCCACCCTCACCCAGCAGGCACTGTGGATGCCTCCAACCCCAGCACAACAGACCACAGGGGCGGCCCCAGTACATGGTCCAAGATGCTCCTCCACGAGGCGAAAGCAAGAAACTGGACTGAGACCGGGCTCCAGCCTAAGATGCCCCAGACTTGAGGGGCCCACTAGGGATGCCCTGTCCCCACCCCAGCCACCAGCATCACCTCCCGATCCCTGTGGGGCTCCGTGGACAACACTTCCCACCAAGAGGATGAGAAACTCCAAAACCCAGAGCTCTGAAGCTTCAGCCAGACCCCTGGTCATTGCTATGCCCAGAGATCTGAACTGATCTCTTCTTTTTAAGTCAGTTTGAGCTAAATTTCTATTATCTGCATGTGAAGGAACCCTTGAATATGATAGATTCAGACACATATTCAGTAATTCATTTATTTACTGAGTGCCCAGGAGGGAGGCAAAAGGGACACAGAAATGACTCACCTGTCCCCAAGGGACAGCTTCCAGTAGCATAGGGACAGTCAGCATGCAAGTCAATCAGAACAGTTTACAGAATGCACTGCAGCCAGGGCCACCTGAGGACATCTCAGGGCCATGACAGGCCAAGGATGGGTCCTAAAGAGCCGTGACCATCTCCCCAGGTGAGGCTGCAGAAGGCAGCCCCTTCCAGGCCTCACGAGTCCTGAGTAGCCAGGTCCACTGGTAACCAGCTCTCCTTGACATGGCAGAAATCGAGCCCAAAGCTCAAGGTTCTAGTCCCACAACTGACACTCTGCTGTTCAATCCCAGTGAGGTAACTTCCCCTCTCTGAGCTCAACAATCCCACTCCTAGCAGTTCACTGGAAGCTGATGGAATGTCACCGGTATTTCAAGGCGATGTGCACTATTGCTTAAGGTTTGGGCACGGCTACCATGTAAAATCACAATGAAACATGCAAAGTCACAGTGGCAGAAACCCTTACTGACACCCATCCTCCCCTTCTATATGAGGTTTAGCTGGGCACAGGGCCACACAGCTGTAGACTACAGATCCCAGCCTCCCTTGCAGCTGGGTGTGGCCATGTGACATTTTCTGCCTCACAGGATTTGAGAGGAACTGCTAGGTTCAACTTCTAGGTCATGCCCTTAAAGAGGAGGACGTCCCTACTGCTCCCTCCTCCCCTCCTGCTGGCTGGTGCACGCATGCAAGGAGCCTTCAGGGACCGTGCTGCCAATGCTGGTGCCCTGGGCACCACAGGGTGCCAGGTCAAGCATCCTGCAGGGCCGGGGTACTAGCCCTGGGTAGGATAGACCCAGACGGTCACATGGAAGAGAAATAAGCATAAGTCACTGTTATTTTGGGTTTCTCTCCCTGCGTCTGAACTAATTTAAGCAGCCATCCCTCTTCTCAACACCCTGCCCCCCACTCTTGGAACACTGTCCCTGCTCAGAGCTAGCAAAGGAAACCATATCTAAAAGAAGCATCTCTAAATCTCAGCTTATGCCACCTCTGCAAGATCACTTAGAGCTAGCTGGGCCCAGCTTCAGGGAAAGAGCAGGGCAGAAACTCTGCAGGGCTTTGTGAAGGGAAATAAGAGTTAAGGACAGTCTGAAGCCCAGAGTGGAAAATGGGCAAACACAGGCTCACGGGCCCTAGTGATCTTCCTGCCTCAGCCTCCCATGGCCCACCACGTCAGGCTGCTGCTTGGATACAGGTTAAACACACTATCTCCTCCCCATCCGGCCTGCATCGTAATTCCTTCTGCACATCTGCTCCTCTTTCCTTCAGTAGCCAGGCTGGACAGTCTTAGCTGTTCTTTATCCCACAGTGCCCTGCTCCTGCTCCAGACTGGCTCCTTTTGATAACAGAGCCTGCCCTTCCCGCAGGGAACCCAGTCCATCTGGTGCTCAGGGCCCAGTGCCAGCCTCAGGCCCGACCACATGACCACCTCTGACTCACCAGAGAACCCACTGCCTGCCTCGCCCTGACCAGTGAGCGGCTCATCAGGAGTGGGCTGGCATCCAAGCTGCACCCAATCAGGGACCTCCCGCGCCTGGAGCAGGCAAGAAAGCCTCTTTCTCGCCAAGGTTGCCAGGAAGGGTAGCTCTGGGGCTGTCTGGCCAGCAGCCAGTCACTGGCAATCTAAAGAATTGAACCCAACAAATTAGGAGAGGCAGAGATGACAGCCAGAGCCTAAAACCACAACGTAAACCCTGATGATACCTGCACACTGTACAACTAGATTTCCCAACTATGTGGGTCAGTTTTTCATTTTGGTCTTCAGCCGCTCATTTTGGTCTTCAGGCTGTGGTCTCAGAGTAGGCTACACCTGATACATCTTGCTCTATTTCTCTCCACCTTTTGCTTCTACCCATCATCAGCTCCTGCTGAATGACGCACAGCCTCCCCACTGATCTCTCCCCTTTCCCTTTTGCCCACGCCCTCCATGTTATGGGGTAAGGGTGATGGTGGGGATTGAACCCAGGGCCTTCATGCTGAGCTATATCTCCAGCCTTTTTATCCTCTATTTTGAGACGATCTCACCATGTTGTCCAGGCTGGGCTTGAGTTTCCAATGCTCTTACCTCAGCCTCCAGAGTGCTGAGATTGCAGGTGTGCATCACCACGCCTGGCTACCTCACAAGATTTTTGCAAGCACAGTTCCATCTTCCTGGATAGTACAGGTAACACCTCTTTTTCCTGGTTGCCCTTGAAGGAAAACTACAGCACAAGTCTGCCACCTGAAGGAGGTTCCTGTTATTCATTGCACCAGATCTGTTTTCTTTACTTCACAATAGAACTTCCCTGAGCAAGAATAGCATCACTTTCTTTAACAATGCAGATTCCACCCTAGGCCTAGCACATAACGGAGCTCAGGGTAGAGCTCAGCGAATGAAAGAATGTTTGGATGGACAGCTGGCTGGAGGCACAGAGGTTTGCATGTGTAAAAAAGCAGCTGGAAGCCCAATGGTGAGTTCAACCTGGGAATGTGAGGTGAGGATTAAGGCCTATGCTTGTTTTTCACTTGATACCTCCCATTTTTGACAATGAACATGTAATTATTTCAAGACAAAGGAAAACAGAAAAACAGCAACCTCAAAGAGTCACATGGGTTTTAGACAGGGCTGCAAACCCTGGCCTCTTGCATCCTCATCATCTCCTAAGCCATGACAAGTATGAGGCCCAGGCTGCCATCCCACGATGAGCTCAGATTCACATGCTAGGCGGGAGTCACACAGGAGGGTTATGAAAGAAATGAGCCCGGGTGATTCCGAAGACAATCTTGCGGTTGGAGAGTTGGACAGCCAGGTTCCACCCCATGCTCTGCCACCTCCCAAGTAGGGTGGGAATTTAGGCAGAATTTAGGAAATTATGCTGATCTTCAGTTTGCTCCTTTGTAAAATGGGATCACAAACACTGTCCTCATAGGGTGGGCAGAGAACTCAACTGAGGAAAAGAAGTCTAACTAATGAACACAAGCTGTTCCGTGGATGGGCAGAGGCCTGGGAAGAGGAAAAGGAGTCTCCAGAGTCCCTGAGAAGCACCTCCTGTTGGCCTCTCCTTTTCCTGATAATCTGAGTCAGTTGGAGCCTTTTGTGTCCAAGGCTGTCCACTGGGCACCGCGCCCCAGCCCCGTGATACCCCCCACCAAGAGAGCAAGATGGGTGAGGTCAGATGGGACCCATCTTCCTCTCTGTGTGATTTCTGTGTGTATCACTGGAGGCCACGAGGCAGAGCAGCCCAAGGTCTTCCTGGCGTCTTCTGCCTGCTTCCCTTGGGCCTGCAGTAAGCACGGGGAGAAGAGATGAACAGGAAAGAGCACAGAACTCTGAGTCACCTCCCCAGCCACCCTGTCCTTGCCACATCTGAGGTCAAGCTCAGCACCAGTGGCAGGTAAACCCTAGGCCTCGGCAGGCCTGAGCACATGGGGAGACCATGCTACAGCAGCTGACCTACCTTTTGCACACCCTTCTGGCCAGGAGCTGCCCCCCAAATCTGTTTGCATCTGCCAGGGCCCAAAAGCCACTCAACAAGGCTGCAGGATGCCACCTTGTATGCAGATGCTGAGAAACTGCCTGAGTAAGCAAGCAGTGCACACGCAGGTAGATACACACAGCACTAGAGGCACAGAGCTCTGGAAAAAGTGAGTCCCTCTCTCCTCCTCAAAGGGCTCAGACTCAGCACAGCAGGCTCCACTGGTCCTCAGAGCTGGACGGCCTCTTGGAGCTCACATGGTCCTATTATATAGATGGTAATCTGAGCCTAGAGATTGTGTCTGGCTGTCCAAGGGCCTAGACTCCATCTTTGGTCACCAGCAGAGGTGACTAAAAGCCAGCTCATGAGTTCCCCTAGGCCCAGACTTTTTTGTTAGGTAGAACCATCAGTCTGCCTTGCTGCTGCCCAGGGCACAGCATGGGCTCAGGAGTAGGTGGTTCTGGGTTCAAATTCCAATTCAGGAACCCTGCTAGACACACACCCAGCTGTCCATGACTTCAACTACCTGACACTCAATTCTGCAGCTCTAAAACAGGAATAACAACCTCTCCCCTGAAGGATTGCTAGGAGAATAAATAAGAATGTAAAGAAAAATGTATATACCCATGTCGAACATGGAATCAGTAGTAACAATTATTCCTGTTGCTGCTATTAATCTACAGACGAGGGGGAAAGGCCTGCTGGGCTTTTTCTGCATGAGCTTCCTCTCCTCTGGCCCTGTTATAATTCTAGATCCTGGGACATTAACCTTTCTGAGTCTCCCCTTTCCATCTAGAGCTCCACCCCCACCCCACCTCCAAAGTGGCAAACACCCAACTCCTCTCCATCTCTGGGTCTGGCTTAATCCAGGGGTCCTGGTCAATGCTTCAAGCATTATGGGATCCAACTACTATGTCCCCAGAACAGTGCCCCCACCCCAACAAAGCCAAAGGCATGAGAGGTACAGGCAGGGCATCTATGCTTTGAATCACAAAGAGAACAAGAGGGAGAATGGGTAATTAGAACTGTCAGACACAGGAGGGACCCCTGGAGGCAATGATGTGACAAGGACCACTCAGCAATGGCCGCGGCCATGCTGTGGGGACCACCAGGCTCTGGGTGACCAGGTTGGCCCTGCCCTCTTCCTGCCTCCCCAAAGGGGTCTCATCTGACCTCGGGGTCCCTGAGCACATTTGCTAGGCCAGCTGTGTGTCTGTGGAGGTGATTTGTCCTTCCTGAGCCTTGGTTTTCCCATTGGTACGATGGTCCCTAGCATATCCCACCTCACACGATTGTAACCATGACTATACAAGATGATCTCTGTTAATTATCCAGCACAACCCCAGCCCCAAACCTGAACCTCAGGTCCTCATCTCGAATACAAGAGAGTTGCTCAACTGTGATGGCAGGTGAGAGCTGGGGTACAATGTAGCCTTCTCCCCACTGAGTGATCCATCCTGAGCTCCTTTTCCATACCCTGGGACCCTGGTTGCGACCTCTTCCTCTTGCTGGTAGCCTTTCCTGGCACTCTTGCCTAGAGGGTGTGGGAAAAGGACAGCAATGAGAAGTCACCACCCACTCAGAGGATAAGCTCATGGGCAGTGACATCACCCTGCCCTTCTTCCTTCTCCCCTGCCCCTGTGACTCAGCATCCCCGTGTGGTCAGAATCTCACAAGCTACTTGACTGTGGGTCATTTTTCTGCACACAAGCCAAACTCTGTAACCAAGAACTGTCTGGCAACAGGCAAGACACTTGTTGCATTCTACAAAAGTCTCTTCAGGTGAGTGGAATCCCAGTAAATGACTCTAGGATCACACTGGCTCTCTGATCCCAAACTGGATTGCCCACTTCAGTGCTAATTGGAAATCCCACTCCAAAGGGTAAAGATCTCCTATTGCCAGGACCAAAGGAAGGTTTTCTAAAAAGTGCAGGCTCACCAGAATAAGGACTCAGACTCCCCAGAGGATCACGCTTCTGTAACTGTTGTCCCTGTAAGGGACAGCATGCAGCCTACCACCAGGCACTGAGCATCTCGGATAGCAATGCTCTGTCCAGTGCCAAACAGGGAAGGAAATCTGGGTCAGAACCCCACCTTTCCATCCATGTTAAGGCTGGCATTAGTCCAGGCTCCCCTCACCAGCTAGGTGGTCTCATCACTCACTGTACAGAAGTCTGGAGGGCACTGGGAGGCCCCCTGCAGGCAAGCAGAAGCCACCACTGATGCGATGGCACAGAGAGCTTAAGGGATCAGTCAGAGAACCCACAAAACATTAATGAGGTCATATAATGCACATATAAAAAAACTGTCTCCATGAAGAGTCCCCATGACCTGTGACACCTTCACGCAAAAACTGACGTTCACAGGACTGACCCAAAGTCACAGAAAAATCTTTCATTGCCCTGTAGACACTCTGTAAGCTGACCAAGACATCTGTCACACGGAACAGGAAGATTACCATGGCCAACAGTCAACCAGAGCTTACTGCTGAAGTTCAAACCCCAGCGATCAGGGAAATGAACACACACAATATTCCATATTCCCATTCCCAAGCAAGCTGCAAATCTGAACCCCCACTCCGTATGCTCATCTGCTCAACCCTCCATGGCAGCCTGCCATTGATCAGGCCCAACACATTGGGCAAGTTTAGACTTCCAGCATAGACCTCAATTTCCTTGGCCTTCAGAAGTCCCCCAGTACTTCCCCCTCCCCATACACAAGGGTAAGCACCCAAACTATAAGGGGGACTGCTCCCAACTATCGGATTTCTTAGGCTTTCTCGGAAGCCCAAGGAAATTAGAAAGGAGGCACAACTAAAGAACTCTCTCACAGGTGAAACAGCGTCACTCCATTCTAATATGGAAAGTACCACTCACGCCCTTATAGGAAAAGGACCTGGGGCCTTCATGTAATGAAGAAATCAGACTCAGTTGCAGGCTATCCCCAACCAATGTGACGGTAAAATAGTTTTCCTCAGTTAAATCAACTTCCCTTCCCCATGCACGCACACAGTTCTTTGCTCACCATTTGCTTTCCCATCAATAACAGATTCCAAGGCTGAGTCACCCAATCACACATTTCCCATTAGGACAGGTTTGGCTTAGAAATAAAGTACCTTCTCTGCCAGTTCACTGTTTGAAACCCTCAAATCCACCAATCGCCTAGCAACACAGTAACGACAGAGGCTCCTAGGCGAGGAGATAGCACTCCAGCTCCCCAGTGACCCCACCCTTGGCCTCCACCTTCTCTCCATTCTCCCCAGCTCCTCTGCACCCTGCCTCATGCCACGTCCCCAGCGCCCGCTCTCCTATCTCTTCACCCCCTAGTCTTCGAGGGCCTCCGGGGGCTGTCCCCACCTGTTCTTCCCAGACTCTGCACCCTGCCCGGTGCCCACTGCAGCCTGTGGGGGCCCCCACACCTGCAAGCACAGGAGCCCTCCAGTCCCTCGAGTCCCCGGGGGAACCAGAGGACCTCAGCTTCTCTCCCAGCCCTGGCGCCCCACTTTCGTGAGCTTCCAGTCCTATCCGCTAGGACAGATCCGCCTCTACACCTCGCTCCATGCCCAGGGTCTGAGAACCCACAGTCGCCGGGGGATCCGATTGTGCCCCAGCTGCCTCAACGCCCCGGGAAGAGGCAGGCTTAGGGGTGTGGTGAATCTGCGTTCCGGAGCCGAGGAGGAGCGGGTCCCGTGATTTCACGTGCGCCGGGGTGGGGTACCGGGCGCCCAGCAATTCCGCGGCCGGCCGGCCGCGAGCAGACAAAGGCCACCCCGCCCCGCCCCACGCGCCTGGCCACGCGGCACTCACCGCGCCGCCACTCGCGGGACTGCTGCCGTCGCCGCCGCCTGGAGGCCCGGCCCGATTAGGGGCCGGGGGTGGCCGGGAGCCCGAGGGCTTGGGCGGCTGCTGGAGGAAGCCGTGGGCCGGGAAAGACGGCCCAGGAGCGCCCCAGATCCCCGATTGGCCCCGCCGCGGCAGCGTGGCTCCAAGGCCTAAGCCCGCCCGCTGGGCAGGGCCGGGGCCCTGGACTCCACCCCCGACCCCAGGCCCAACCTCGCCTGGGAACCCCGGGGCGCGCCCAGGGAAGGGGGCGGGGGTCTGCCGGCCGCCCACCCCCCACCCGGGTCCCACACCTCCAAGGGCTGAGTTGCTTTTCTGTGAGCCGGACGGGTGACTGTCATTAACTCCTCCCACCCTCCAGGCTGCTGGAATCCGGCTGTCGCAATCCAGTCCAGTGTGGTTCCTGGGCGCTATGCTAGGACCGCGGCTTGGAAAGGGTTAACCCCTAGGCAAGGAATTAGGAGCTGCTGGGAGCTCTCTCTATAAATACAATGTCGTGGGCGCCCCAGCCAACCGCAAGGCAATTTCCACCCAGATGGTTTCCTCTTTTCCTTCCAGCCATGACCACCTGGCCAGCCCTGCCCCCCAACCCCTGCCCGGCTGCTGGCCAGCCAGGCTCCAAAAGGGGGAGTAGACCTGACACCCCCTACACTTGGCCTCTGTTCTTACATGGTCTCGCTCCAGCCTGGGAAGAAATGAAGGCCTGATTTTTGCTTCTAAGCGTCTCATCCTGGCCTGTTCATCAACCAGAGAGGGAGGGTCCCAAGGGTGCAGAGGCCGCTGTGGGCTGGAGGTTGGGTTTGCAGCACTAACATTCCCATTTTGCAGATGAGAAAACCGTAGCTTGGAATTATGAAGGGACTTTAACCTTGTGATGCTGCCAAGTTTACCACAAAGTGAAAGCAGCCCTGTGGGAGAGGGCTTGGAAAATACGTGTGTCTCTCTGTCTGTGTCAGGCACTGTTTAAGCTTTTCACTGTTTTATCTGACTTAATCTTCACTATAACTCAGTGAGGGTAACACCATTGTTATGCTCACTTTTACAGATAAGGAGATTCAAATGCAAAACCTTACAGTTCGTATCTAGCTATTCCTCAAGAATATTACAGAGCTTCGGGAAGGTGCTTGGATTCTGGGGGCTGTAGCTTGCTATTAGGAGGTGGGGCCTGGTTGGAAGAGGCGGGTCTTGGGGCGTGGTTTTGACGGGTTCATCTCTCAGCTCCTCCCTTGTCTCTGGGCTTTAGTCTGTGTTCTATGAGCAGCTGCCCTCTGTCTGCCTTGGTGCCCTGCTTTGGACCCTGCTGACCATTGCCTGAACCCTCTTCAAAATGTGAGACAAAATAAGCCTCTCCTCCTTAAACTGTAGACGTCCGATATTTTGTCCCAGCAATGAGTGACTGAGTTTTAGGACACACGGCTGTTAAGAGAGAAGCCAGGATTCGCCCCCTTTAATGTGTGTGTCTTTGATGGAGGTACAGGAGCACTGGGGTTCAGATGTGAACCTAGGTAAGCAGCTCTCTGTTCAAGTCCGCGCGCACAAACGACTGAATGTTTGGTAGTGATCCTTAGCCTCCAGGAACTCTAAACACCTCCACACTGCTCCGCACTGCCCCTCAGGCCCTGTCCAGCCTGGGACTGGCCTTAGAGGTCTCCACATGAGTGACTCCCAGTAGTTCCAGCAACCAGGGGCAGAGTATCCAAGGAAGAGAGATCCCTGGCCAAGAGGCCACAGTCACTGCAGCAGGACCATAGGGTGGCATTTGAAGAATCAAGTCTGTACTTTGTGTCCTGTGGTGGTGTGACTGAAGGAACAGCGAGGACAACTTACACAATGGCCCAAGAGCACAGGTCAGGAGAGAAGAAAATAGCCTTGGCTGTGGTTCCTAGAAGCAGAGGATTGAGGGGGCTCTGACCCCAGGGAAAGTAAGCAGCTGGGGCAGATGTTCTGTATGACCAGTTCAGCTGAGACTCAGACACTTGGTCCTGAGCACAGACCACAATGATCATCACGCACACTGGAGTCTCCTTAGTTCAGAGAATGTTTGTCTGGTGCCCCTGGGAACTTGGGAGTGGGAGTGTGGGTCACACTGATTCCTATCTGAAGCAGAGATGGAGGATGGTCTCCATGCATTTTTCCTAGACAAGAGTCCCCCACCTGCTTCCTAGACCAGCACAGAAGCAGATGATTCTGAGGATTTTATCTGCAGGTTTGTCTCAAGTTCCCCAAGGAGGTCACAAACCAACTCAAACAGCCTAGACTGGGACAAACCATCCTCTACTCTTTTTCCCTACCTACTCATCCTTTAGGCTTCTCAGTTGAGAGATGAATCCGTCAAAACCACGCCCCAAGACCCGCCTCTTCCAACCAGGCCCCACCTCCTAATAGCAAAAAATCAAACCATCACCTTGTTCTCCAAACCCATTTCACTTCCTAGATATCCAAGAAGGATCCAAATCCCAACCCAGGACTCAAGCCTATGCCTCTCCAGCTCCCTTGCTGACAGTCCAGACAGACATGAAGAGATGCCCTGGGATATATTTGAAATTCACCCCCATCTTGCCACCCCCACTACTCCTCAGCAGATTGCTGTGCTGGCCTCTTGTCTTACTTACTTTTTCTTATTGTTGACACAAAATACATGACACTCAAAGAGGAAAGATTTATTGAGCTCACAGTTTGTAGAGGTTTCAATCTATAATTGGCTAGCTCCAAGGCAGGGTGGCACATGGCAGAGGGGCAGCAAAATCAACAACCAAACCTTAACAGCATCTTTCTGCTCCATTTATACTCTATCCAAGCTTCTGGGATTATGGTGATGCCAATCCGATCAGTGGAATTATCCAGCAATCACCCACCCTTAATCCTAGTACCCTTGGACCCAGCATTGCACCACCAATTAATCATACACTTTAGATTCAGCTCAAAAAAAACTGTATTACTACCCGAGGCACTGGAGGGACATATAAACACAAACCATAATGCATCTTAATTCACTTGCCTGACTATAACTCTTCAGTCCACAGGTGCCAGAGAGATTTTCCTAAAATATAAATCCTCCTACAATGTCCTTCTGCCACTTGAAGCCCTTCCACTGTTCTCTTTGCCTTGGGGCTGCTAAGATGTATTCTTCTTTTGCTTACCAACAGAGCACACTTTTTATTCTAAAACAGCTACAATAAATTGAAAATATGTCCTTTCTCAGACTCTCTTGCAGCTAGAGGTGGTCACATGACACAGTGTGGCCAATGAGATGAAATTAAAACTCATATATTGGGACCTTGGGAAAACGTGTTAAAGAAGTAGTCTTCCACTATGGAAAACAGCAAGGTAGTTCCTGAACAAATTAAAAATAGGATTACCAAATGATTCAGCAAGTCTACCTCTGAGTATATCCCCTGAAGAACTGCAAGCAGAGTCTTGAAAAAAATCCTTGAACACTAATATTCACTGCAGCATTATTCATAATCGCTTAAAGGAGAAGCAATCCAAATATCTACTAATGCCTAACTAGATAAGCAAATGCTGAGCAAACAGACTATAGAACACCTTATTACTTCCCTGTGTGCTTTAGTTGGATGTGGGTTGTCCCCCAAAGGCTTAGTCCCCACCCTGATGCCATTGGGAGGTGATAGAAATCCGAAGAGCAGAGGTTTCCCAGCCATGGTATCAATGGCTTAGCTCGCTGTATGCCCCCTACCATGATGTACTGTCTGCCCAACAGCCCAAAGCCAAAGGGTTGGCCATCCATGGACAGAAACCTCCAAAAACAATGAACCAAAATAAAACTTCTCTCTTTATAGGTTAATCATCTCAGGTTTGTGCTACAGTAACAGAAGAGTGACTAACAAGCCAGGGCAGAAATTATAGTAAGTTCTTGGTGAAATCTAGATTTGATTTTAGCTTGCTTCTTTTGACATATGAAGGCAAAAATCTTCATCTATTCAAATATACTTAAACATACCACATCCCTTAACCTCACTTTAAATGGGGCTAGGAAGATGTTCCTTACTCTCTAGAGCAACTATGTAGTCCATCTTTTCTTTTTTTTTTTTTTTTTGTTCTGAGACAGGCCCTTGCTGTGTAGTCCAGGCTGGTCTCGAACTCACTGTGTCTCAAACTGGCATTAAACTCATGGTGATCCTCCTGCCTTAACCTCCCAAGAGCTGGGTTTACAGGTGTGCACCACTGTGCCCACTTTCAGCCAGTCCATCTTTCAGAAAGCAGTTTAAAGATACTAGAATGCCTCACCTGAGAATGATACTCAAAACCTACTCATTTTATCTGTTTATAAAAGAAAGAAAAACCAATTCTTGGCTGTGACTGGGCTTACAGTGCCATTTGAGCATTTTTCGAGGATTGTCATGGCACTTAACCAATATCCTGGCATTGGCCTCTCTTTGCCAGGACTGGTTGGTGCACATTATTTCTGGCGTATTTGTACTTTCAGGCCTCAAGTCCTTGAAGCCTTGGCAAAAGTGACACTCCATTGCCCCCGCCCTGCCTACTCACTCAGGGCTCACAGGGCACCACCCTGAGACACTCCCTAACCCAAGGAACCGAATTTCCCCAGATGACCAAACCATTACACAGGGGCCGCCTCAGGCTCCTGCTTTCTAGCTTTCTGCTCCTGGGGGTAGGGTTTTGGAACAGGCTTCAGGTATCTAGATCCAAATACTTCCAGCTGGAAGCATCTGGCAGCACACTAAACACACTAGCAAGGGCAGCCCAAAGAAGAGAAGGACTAATCTCCCAAGACAGGTGTCTGGGAAGGTCCCAACCCAACCCTGTCACATACGCTACCAAATAACACAACAGCTTGCAAACATGCCATTCCCCCACCCCTCACCCCCAGCCACTATCCCCTCTCTTTCCCTGTCCACACTCTTCCATTTTTTTTCTTTCTCCTCTCCATCCCTGGTAGAACCATGCAGCCTCCTCTCTTTCTTATTCCTTCTCTGTTGCCCAGGCTGACAACAATCCCAATACCAGGCATCTATTTCACTTAGTCTCCTGCTGAAGGAGGGTTGGGGGCCCTCCAAATTTATAGGCAACTGAATTACATAAAAATATTATAGGCCCTCGAAAAAGCTAGTGTGGAAGACCAGATACTTTGCAACTGTGGGGGAGACAGACATCTTTGCTGTGGGCCAGACCTCCAGACAATAGGTAGAACAAATGCACCCACATACTTCCTAAGGATAAACTTCAGAGGCTGATATTCTAAATAGGTACGGATCACTTTGAGGGAAACAGGAGTCACTAACCCAACCTCCTACAGGAAGTCACT